CCCCAGCAGTTAGCCTAGGCAGACACGCTCTGGCTGATTTTTTTCAGTTCACTTTGTGTTTGTAACCATGAGTCATTTGAAGCAACTCTTTTCTCCTTTTTTATTTGTTCATTGAAAAAAAAAACACCTTTATTTTGCTTTTCTGCTGCCACTTTTTAAATAATGAAAATCAATTTTTAAAATGTAAAAGTCAAAACATGTAAAAGTCCCAGCTGTGGTTCTTGGAAATCTAGAATATTTACAAAAGTCTTTAAGTACTTGAATATCCCCACTAGCAGTTCTAGATGTAATCTTCCCACACGATTCTCCATGGCCTTGACAAATCACGTGTCTTGGGTACTCACTGTGAGTACAGGGTTCTGCCGTTGTCATAAAGGGCAGACGTGTGCATTGCATCCCTACCTCCCAGGGAAGTGCCTGTATAGGACTCAAGACTGACGTGTGTGTATATTTTCATCGTTATCTTTTGTATTTGAAGATGCTGAAGATATAACACTTCTTTTGACAACAGGGCTGATTTAAAACTTCATCACTGAAGTGACACCTCCTCTTCTACAATGGTCACTATTGCTATGGGGGTCACTATAGCTACGATGGTTGCTACAGGTACAGCAGTCGCTATAGCTGTGGTAGTCACCATAGCTACAGTGGCAGTTTCTATACCTATGACAGCCACTATTGCTATGACAGCGGTCCCTAGACCTACAGCATAGCTCTGTATGTATAGTATAGGTTTCTATACTCAAAGCAAATTGCAGCATGAGAAATGCCATAGAGATGAATTTCTGGTATAATAGAGGGCTACTCCAGTTTCCTTAGTGTATAATTGTGGCATGTAATTATGAAGTCAGTAGGCAGGTAAGAATACAAAACACTGTCCTTGAGAAGAAAGATCCTTCCAGTGACCTGTGAAATAGCCTCTTTGAGTTGTCTCTCCGGTTGTGGAAAAATACAGGTGGATAGATGTGCATGAGGCTTGCATATTTTAAAAATTTTATAAGTCATATGAAAAATACTTGCTTATTGTTTCACCACCTAGGAAGAGTTTTCCAGTACTCCTTTGGAGTTTATGCTTGCAGTATTTTTTCTACTCATAACTCTACACTGTAAATAATTGTGTTTATTTTTATTAAAATAGAATCATGCTACCTTTTTAAATTTTATTCAGTAATATCCCGAATATTTTTGTCATTTAAGAATGCTCTAAAATATGTCCATGACTGCATAATATTGTTCCACCATAATTTGTTTAACCAGTACCTATTTCTGTACGGAGAGGTTTTTTTTCCCCCCTCCACCTTTTCCTACTGTACACAGTGTCATGGTGAACATCCTCATAGCAAAAAAACAAAAACAAAAACATAATTGTCAGATAAATTCCTGGAAGTTGAATCGCCGAGTCACAAGAGGTGTAAATTTTTAAAGATGCGACTCAAAGGTACTGCCAAATGATTCTACCAGCTTCCATTTCTGCCGCTAGGAAGTAAACAGGTGCTTGTCTGCTCACATCCTCCCCTCCACCGGTTATTACAGTTTTGTAATCTTTGCAAATTTCATCAGGCAAAATGCTATCCTGTTTAAATTGGCATTTTTTTGAATCCAAGAAGTGAGACACTTTCCATCTTTATGTCTTATTACACTCAATATATTGTGTGAATTGCCTGTTCACGCCCATTGCCTATTTTTCGACTGGAATCATTATCTTTTCTCATTGATTTGTAAGGGGCCCTTTTACACTAGGGATTAGTATGAAGTCCTTTTCCTATATTCCAAAAAATATTTTATTTACTCATTCATCAATCGATAGACCTTTGGGTTACTTCCACTTTTTGGCTTTAATGAATAATACTGCAGTGAAATTAGTGTACAAGTTTTTGTGTGGCCATATGCCTTTGATTCTTTTGTGTATATATCTAGAAGTAGATTTGTTAGGTCGTGTGGTATCTCTCTCTCTGTGTAACTTCGAGGAACTGCCAACTATTCCATAGTGGCTGGACAATTTTAGATTCCCATATACAATATCGGAGGGTTCCAATTTCTTCACATACTTGCCAAAACTTATTACCTATTTTTGATTATAGCCATCTTGATGTGTGTAAAGCAATATCTCATTATGGGTTTGATTTGCATTTTCCTAATGAGTACTGATGTTGAGTATCTTTTAAGCACCGGTGTGCTTATTGGCCATTTATATGTCTTTTGGAGAAATATTCATATCCTTAGTCCATTTTAAAATCAAATTATTTGCCTTTTATTATTAAGTTGTAGAAGTTCTTTATTCTCAATACTAGTTCCTCATCAGATATAAAATTTGCCAATGCTTTCTCCCATTTTGTGGGTTCATCTTTCCACTTTCTTGATGATGTCTTTTGAAGCACAAAAGTTTTAATTTTGCCGAAGTCCAATTTATTCATGTTTTTCTTTTGTTGTTTGTGCCTTTAGTACTGAAGTTTACTTTTGATATAATCTTTTCCATTTTGAGTTTTTAGATATGGGGTCATGTTTGGAAATTCATTTCTCATCCCAAGACAATATAAATGTTGTCTTACGTTGTCTGATAGTGCTTTCATGGCTTCATCTATCTTATATTTATTGGGAGCTTGCTTCCATGGATGTTATTGGATTAGATACATTGATTTTATGCTGATGGTTCATCAGTTGTCCCAATATTGTCTTTTGCTCGGCATGCATTTTGTATAAGGACTGGGTTCAGCCTGTGCTCAAAGGAAGTGAACAGAGCGCAGTAGCCAAATGAAGATCAAAGCCATGACATTGGCTTGGCTGACTCCAGTTCGGATTCATGCAACTAGAAGGAACAGAATGATCTAGAATGCCTGCCTTTCTATTTTCCAGTTCTTTAGCTTCAAGGTATTTCTAGCTCGCATGCCCATCTGAGCAATGAGTCGCCCACAGGATAGGATCTTTTTTTTTTTTTTTTTGACATTTTCTTAGGATAACGTTTCCATAAAATCACAGATTGTTGGCTATTGTAAACAATGCTGCAATGAACATATAGATGCATATATCTTTTTGAATATTTTTTTTTTCATTTTCTTAGGATAACGTTTCCATAAAATCACAGATTGTCAGATAGTCAGGAATTCCTAGAGACATTAAGTGTTGAGCTTTTGAGTCTTTTTGACAGCCTGAGAGAGTGCTAGACTTCTCTGTATGCCCCCAGAGGAACACTAGGCAAGGGGCAGTCCTGTTTACCTTTCATGTAACACCCTCTTAACTCAGCCGTGTCATATTGATCGTGAAGTTCAAGTTGCTGTGAATCCTCATGATCACATATTAATAAGGAAAGAGAGACTTGTGAACACTCAGCTTCATTCCACCTTGAGTTGAAAGAAAGAATAGGTTGAATTGCTCAGACCTGTCTGGAAATCTGGTGACATGAACACGTCAGAAGAAGACAGCCGTGAAGGGGCCATTGATGGGCTCACGTAGGCTCCAAGTCCTCACAAGTGATTGTTTTTTTCAAACACTGGTGCTCCTTGTTTTCTAAATAACCATTCAGATCCAATCAGGGATCTTTGTAAAATAAATGCATTTAACCCAAGGATTTAGCCCCAGGTGGGGACATAGCAAACCTCATTTTCTCCCCTCCAACTTTTTTTTAAAATACTTTATTTTTAGAGCACTTTTAGGTTCACAGCACAATTGAGCAGAATGTATAGAGTTCCCATACCCCCCACCACACACACCCACATCCTCTCCCATTACCAATAGCCCTTACCAGAGGGGGTGGGGATATTTGTTACAGTCGAGGAGCCCACATTCCCCCAGACTCTTCGATTGGTGAAGGACATGTCAGAGTTCATTGCCTCCAACATCCCAGGGCAGTTTCCCCTAAGAACCCCGGGCTTTGGGAACACAGTCTCCCTCCGTTAACGAGAGGAGGGTGACATGAAAGGAGTGCTCAAGGCTAATTAATGTCCTGAAAGACCAGCACTTGCTCGTCAGGGAACCGCTGTCTGGGGAAGCGTGCGTGCGTGCGTGTGTGTATGTGTTCTGTGAAATTATATCTCATGCATAGATTCCCGTGACCCCCGCTGCAGTCAGGATAAAGGACAGTTCTGTCACCACAAGGACCCTGCCTGTTTTCCTTTTATAATCACAGTCATCTCCCTCCCTAATTCCTGTCAACCACTAATCTCTTCTCTGTGATATTTCAGAGCCTTTTGAATTTCCAAATCCTGGGTAAGGCATTGGCAGCCTGCATTTGTTTATGTTCTAAGAATGACTCCAAGTCTATGCCAAGCCGGAAGTAGAAGCCCTTAAAAACTCTTAATTATGACTTAATCCTTGTAGCATATCGTAAAGACGCTGTATAGGTACCTAAGTTGCATGAACAGAAACATCTGGGTTTGAAGGCAAGCTCGTAAAGTACTAGGCACAGGAGGAAAGCGAAGTGAAATATTAATCGTAAATCTCACTGGCTGCTGGGATTATAAATTCTTTTTATGCTAACCTCTCACCCTTTTTTAAAAACAAAGTTTTATATAAGCATGTTTCTGTAATCAGATAAAGAATACACACTTGATATAGGAGAAAGTGGATACGTGGGACACATGTCATTCCGTCAAGCTTACCTGGCATAGGCCCAGCTCTGCCACCTGCCGGCAAGTCCCTCACTTGCAAGCTTCCGCTCCCTCCCCTATAAGGCAGGGATGCTACGTGACCTGCCCCTGGGTTGCGAAGAGATTCAGTGGAGTACTGTGCAGGAAGAGCTGGGATGTAACAAACGCTCAATGCACAGTGGCTATCATTTTCAAAATATAAACTCCCACATGGCAGCCTCGGCTTTATGGGTGATGGGCACCAGGGAGCAGGTCCTGCTTCAGTCTCGTAGAAGCCCACGGGGGTTACTGGGTGTGGGGCCTGTGCAGAGGGGATTCAGAAGGGTCAAGGAGTCGGGAAGGGGCTGTCCCTCCTGACCCAGAGCTGGGTGGTCACTGGTTCACAGCGAACACCAAGTACTTCTGTCCTTTCTCCAGGTGATGGTCGCTATGGCAACAACGACGACTCTGAAGCCGGTGGGTTTGAGTTCCAAGGTTTCTGCTGGAAACGACGGGAGAGAGTGCTGGCCCGCTCTTGTCTCAGAGTTGGCCTTTCTGACCTTCCCCTGACTGTTTCTGGTAGAGAACTGTGAGGCCAACAGCAGAGGGACCAAGTCATTTAAAGCAATTAAGTGTAAAAATATGGATCCCCGGGGAGGTGGCCCCATGGGCAGCCCGCTGGCTGGCCTAAGACCCAGGTACCTGTCTGGGACCGCACCATTTCCACGTCCACCTTTTAAGCTTCTCAGAATGGAAATCCTTACAGAAAATGAGAAGCACTTGGCAAATCCAAGGGGGCACTGTGTCATTTGAACCCCTGAGATACAGTGGCATAGGCCTGTCACACTGGCATCGGGGTCCTGGGCATTGGAGCAAGCTTAGCTCGGTGCCTGAGCCTATCCTCCTGCTGCTGTTGGCTTGACTTCACTTCTCATTTCTCCCACCCTCTCCTTTGCCCAGGAATGTCTCCAGAGACCGGCACCATTGCCGGCGTGGCCAGCGCCCTGGCCATGGCCCTGATCGGCGCCGTGTCCAGCTACATCTCTTACCAGCAGAAGAAGTTTTGCTTCCGCATTCAACGTAAGTGGATCTGCCCTGCGGCCGCTCGTTGCTGTGCCCGCAGCGGTTTCATTCCCCGCACCCCTGGACTTGAACGAATGGTTACGGTCTTTGGAGGGAAAGGGGCAGAAACATGAGCAAGTTGAGATTCACGTCCACTCAACAGCCTGTCTGAGAGCAACTCCAGAGAAGGCTTCTCGGGTGGGAGCGGGGAGCGGAGTTGCACTTTGGAAATTCTTGCAGACAGAACTGAAGTGTAAACCGGCCTGGAAGAGATGATGGGGCTGGACACAATGACCTTGATCTTCCAAGCCATCCAGTTCCCAGAAGTCAGATTTCTGTGGCAGCAGAGCGCAGTGACCATGGTGATGCTTCCTTGTCATAGAACAGGAGAGACCCTGGGATTTCTCTATGGCCTCAGATCTCACCAAAGGAATATGGAGACTTCAGAGCCCCTGGGTCAGTCAACAGCTCCCTGTCATGCTGCCAGTTTCCTCAGGAGCAGAAGGGAGTCTCTGGGCATCGCTAAGACCCAGCAGGCAGCACTGCTGGACAAACCAGTTGGGATCCCTTTCGGATCCCAAGAAGTCACTGACCTGGTACCTCTGCTCCTCCCACTATGAGCCAGAAAATCTTAAAAAATATAGGGAGTCACGAATCGATTTAAAGGAGTAGGAATGCAGGGGAGAGAATGGTTTTGTGGCACCCCCACCCCCACCCCACCCCACATGCTATATTTGTGAAAGCTAGCTTGCATTTTATGCCATAGCTGTGTGTCTATAAGATGCGAGTATATCGCACTTACAAATGGAATCCCGTCTTGGAGGCTGGCAGGTATCCCACGTCGGGAGCCCTGTGGGGATGCTGTTGGGGGCGAACAGGAAGCCCACACTTGTTGGTTTTAGAAGCACAGTGTTGACATGTCACTGTCTGCTGAGTGTGTCTCTGCCTTAAGGCCCGGGATTTTTAGTTCAAGTGATAAAACAGGACTCAGGGGCAGTTTCTGTCTTTCTGAAGCTTGGGAGCAGTCGGTGTGAGGCTCCACCTACCGTGGCTCTAGGCCTCTGCCCTCAAGTCCAGCCTGGAGCCGAGCTTCCAGAAAACTAACCCGGCCTGCAGAACGCTTTGAATGTGGAAATTGCTGAAGTCTCCGACGAATTTTTCACCTGGCCATCGCATTTGCTTCTTGTATATCACTTTCTTGACCAGGGCCCCCACATGCAGCTACACAGGCTGTGTACAGCAGTCCTCCATGGGCGCCACTCACATTGCAGTGTACAACCTGCACAACCTCACAATCTCGCTGCTCACTTGAGATTCAGAAGCTGGGAACAGGGAGGAGTCGGGAGAGCAGACCTGGAGGCTGGATTGTCCTTAGAGCTGTCCCTTGTCTCAGCTCAAAAGCAAAAATCTGAGTGACTCAAAACAACAGAAATCTGTCTTCCCACAGTTCCGGAGGCCGGAAGTCTAAGATCGAGGTGTCAGCAGGGTTGGTTTCTTCTGGAAGCTCTAGGGAAGGGCCCTTCCCTGCCTTTCTTCCAGGTTCTGGTGGCCCTAGGCGTACCGTGGCTTAAAGCTACATCCCTCCAATCTCTGCCTCTGTCTCCACATGCCTTTCCCTCTGTGTGTGTCGTCTCTTGTCTCTCGTACAGACACTTGTCATGAGGTATAGGGCCCACCTGGGTAACATCTGCAGAGAGCCCTTTTCCAAATGAGGTCACATTCACAGGGTCCAGGGATGAGGAGGAGGACAGATTTTAGCAGGGTCACCATTCACCCCAGTACAGCACCGTCGCCCTAACAGTGAGGATTATTGAAGGAACTTACTCGAGATGGAAAGCGATGAATCCAGAAGGGGCGCCAGGCAGGAACGGGGAGAGGAAAAGAGGTTGATTTCCAAACCGGAAAACATGTCTGGGTTGTATCTATCTCTGTGGGGACACTAAGGTGAAATGAAAATACAGTATTTTCACACTTGTTTCCTAAAACAAACAGGTGTGAGGTTTTGCAAATTGGATTAGCAAGAAAGCCAAAGAAAACATGAGAACACGAAGGCCTTGGTATATAGAGTTGAACAATTTATATGATATTTGGGAAAGAATAAACCGAAAACGGGGCATTGAGGACAGCTGAAAGCCATGTGGCAACAAGGCTGGAGGACATGGACGTGACTTCTTTCTTGGGGGCGGCCTCAAGGTGAGGGTGTTGCTGGGTGGGGCAGTTAGGGCGAGCCTGCTGGCAGGGGTGGCACAGGCCCGGGAGGCAAGTGCACTTGTGGGACTAGTGGCGGATCCCAGGGAGTTCGTGAAACGCGCTGCCGTCGCAGACCCCGCCCCCCATTCAGCGGCAGGGCCGGCTCCCCTCCCTCCCACTGGCCCCTCTCTAGGCAGCTCCTCCATATGTGTCTTTGGCCCCCTGTGTGTTCCCCCTCAATCTGTTCATGATAGGCTTGTCATTGCTTAACGTGCACTATCCCAAATCCCTTACCTGGACACACTCATGCAAGTGCTGTCATCCCAGTTCGCGCAGAAGGGAACCGAGTATGGAGTGTCCCCCAGATTTGAAAAGGACCTCTCTTGCTTCGGCATCCGCCCCCTGGGCGACCAGCTTTCTCTTCAGAATTTGTAAGTTGTCTCTGTCCCATCTTTGTGGCCCCTCACATTCCAGCAGTCCTGAGTCTTCTGTCACCCCACCTACAGCAGTGGCATCCCCCATCCCGGGGCTTGTGCCTCCTGCGCAGCTCTGCTTTGGGGCCACACCACCACCATGGCCCCTGCCCGTCCAGGGCCAAGTCTCCCAGTCTTCCATCTGGATGCTTCCATCAGACTGCTGCCTGCCCAAGAGTTCCCCACACTTCTCCCAGCTTGCAACAGCCAGAGGGACCAGTTTAAAATGCACAGGGCCAGCTCTGCCGGGACCTCCCATGCTCTCCGGGTCATGGCCGAGCCCCTGAGCTTGGCATTCGAAGTCCCTTCATGGTTCAGTTCTAACCACGTCTCTTCCCTCCCCAGCCCTGCAGCCCTGGTCTCAGGAGCCTCTCTCCACAGCCCTCCCCACTTCCCTGAGTGTGCCCTGCTGTCTCCAGCGTCCTGTCTGCTGTCCCATCTCCACTGTCTCTTCTCCTCACCTAGCTGCTCTCATCCTTTGGGCCTGGAGTACCGTCCTAGGAAGGCTTCCCTCCTTCCCGGCCCATGGCCCGTGACTTGGCACTTCTGCGTGTGGCCGTAGTGCCTCCACCGACTGTGATCGAGCCCATGGTGGGGGCATTGGGTTTGGTCATTTGTTTCTATCCGAGACCGCTGTCTCTCCACATCACTCTCTGGACTGTCAGCCCCGTGCGGGGACTGCGTGTGCTTCATGCACCTAGGCCCGGTTGGAATGCGAAGGAGTCCCATGGATGTGGGGTGGCTAAGCCCGCTGTGAAGCCTGGAGCCGGGACCTCCCACCCCAACCCTGTCTCCTGAGGCTCTGACCAGAGTGGCCTCAGCCACCACCGCGTGGAGGTCAGGAAGGCAGAGCACAAACCGCTCTGCACCCAGCGCACCGGGAAGCCCCAAGGGGTGAGGGGATGGCTGGTGGCTACTAGGAGGTGGCCATCGTGGTGCTTAGTGGCTGGGTTCTAGTCGCCACCGCCACCAAAGCGGCTCAGGTTTTGGGGACCCTCTGCCTCCCCATTCTCTGCCCTCAGTGCCGAGGGCCAGTCCGTCTCACAGAAAGCCTGTGTGCTTTGTTGCGGGGGGCTGCGTTCTTCCTCCTAAGCTTTGTGTCTTCCCTTCAGATGCAGCAGAAGGTCAAGGTAACGATGCACTCTGACAGTCATTTTCCTCTTCCACTTTGGCCTCGATGCCTCCCCACCCTGCTGCTCTTGCTCCTTATCACAGCTCCCCACCCCATCCCCTCCCCTGGCACTCTCCAGCTTCGACCACAACCATCTTTAGCTTTCCCCAATACATATGGAAGTATGCCACCTGCCAGACTCTGTATTCACAGGTTGGGAATGGCTGTGTTCAGGAATGCATGGGAAGGGGTGAAGATCCTGTCTGGGACTCAGATGCCCACTGGTGGTCATCCGTGAGGAGCAGTCAGAGCGCTGCTCACAGGCAGAAGCCAGTCCAGTGCATGTTAGGATGGCAGCACATCTCCCAGCCCCTGCCCATCAGCTGGGAACAGCTGCCACCAGCTCCATCACCTGCCCCGCCCCTTATGGAGGCTGGACACACCTGACAGTGAATGATGCCTGCATATTTCCTGGGCCCATCTGGTGTCTGCCTTGAGCCCAGCAAGCAGCCGGGCAGGCAGCCATACTGGTGTAGATGAACGTGAGTGCAGCCCAGGATGGCGGAGCGACTTACACTGGTGCCTGCTCAGTCAGTCGGTTGGTTAGAGCCGTGACCCAATTTCCCCCAGGCCCAGGGCTCTGATGAGGTTTCCAGTCTCCAGCTCGTCCAGGGGTAAGACACAGACTCTTGATTCCCCAAGCAGCGGTGAGGTCCACTCCGTGTACTGAGTAATGGCTCTTGCGTCCAGCATGGTGCCACTCAGTGGCCGGTGTGCTGGCATGCACAGGATACTTTGTAGAGTCCCCAAGTCCCTCAGAAATACGTGGGGAGAAAGCCCTAATGATCAAATAGACCAGAGCAGCTATGGGTGGGCCCCGGGCCCTGCACGCTGGGGCAGAAACAGTGCCATTCCACTGCCCAGTTGGCCTCTCCGCGTGGGTGTCGCTGGGAAGGCTGCACGCTAGCAGGAGGCTTTGCTGGCATCTCCACAGTGAGCCCCACTCAGCCATCTGCCCCTCCCTGCTTGACATCCATCAGTCACTCATGCGGTGCTTGGCTCCCTCTCTGCCTCCCTGGCCCCTGGGCCAGCATGTGGACCCATGGGTGACACCAAGCCCTGCCATTGTGTGCCCTCTCTCTGCTGGGCAGAGCTGCTGTCTGGTACACATTCTCATACAGTGGCACCTGCCCTATGGGGATGGGGTGTCTGTCAGGCCTTTGCCACTTGTCATCACGTCTGAGGACAATGATGAGAACTGGGCAGAGCAGCCCACTCCCAGCCAGCCTGTCTTTGCCCAGACAAGGACACTGAGGTGGCCTGGACTGCGGGGCCTTGAGTCCGTTAAGGGAGTTGTGTGTTTTGAACTGTACCGGAGGACTTGCTCAGGAGGCTCGATTATGGTGGGAGACCTTTTGGTTCTGTCAGTCACTGACTCTGCCCTTTGCCCTTCGCAGAGGGTCTCAATGCAGACTACGTGAAAGGGGAGAACCTGGAAGCCGTCGTGTGTGAGGAGCCCCAAGGTGAGGACTTCTTGGTCACTGTCTGTCGCTGAAGGACTCCTAGCCGGTGGGCCTGGCACTGAGCAGAACTGTGCTAGTGCAGAGGTGTCTGTTCCTAGAATTTCCAGCCAGACCAAGGAGCTGCGGGAGCCCGGAGGTCCCTGTACTGTGCCCCTGATCACCCGGACACCAGGGCCAGCTGGTGCCATGTCGAGGACCTCCATGTGCTATAGGGGCTCCGGCTCTGGTCTTGAGTCATCTGCGCATGAGCCCCAGGCCCATGCTCTCTGCACGGGTGTGTCTGGGAAGGCTGCACGCTAGCAGGAGGCTTCGTTGCCATCTCCATAGTGAGTCCCACTCAGCCATCTGCCCGCCTCTGCTCGGTACCCATCACTCACTCAGGCAGTGCTTGGCTCCTACACAAATTCCGATGGAGCCATGGGGAATCTTTTAACCTAGGCCCATACATTTCAATTTGAAAATTGCCAAAGGGAACTTGATTAAAACACAGACCCTGTTATTAGAGACCATTCCTCTCCCTACCTTCCTCCCTATTCCGTGGTCACCAAGCCCTTTCTGGGTCCCAGAGCCATTGGCGATGGGGGCTGTGTGAGGTCAGGCTTCTGGCCTGGAGTGGCCAGTCTCAGGGCAGATACCACCTATGGCCCAGAATGCCAGTAGGGTGGTCGGGAAAGGCTGTGCGAAGTGGAGGAGCAGCAGAGGATGGGGTAGGCGGAGACAGGGGCACGGGGAGTATGGAACCTGTTGTGGCTGGAGCAGAGGGCAGCAGCAGGGGTGTGGGGGCACTGGTGTGCGATGGGGGACAGGGTGCTCTGTGCCATTGCTTAGGGTGGATACCTGGCCGTCTTACACTGAATAGATTAAAGCAGGAGTCCCCGACCTTTGTGGCACCAGGGACCGGGGCTCCTATGAGAATCTAACGCCTGATGATCTGAGGCGGAGCTGAGGCGGTGATGCTAGTGCTGGGGAGCGGCTGCAAATGCAGGCGAAGCTTCGCTCACTCACCTGCTGCTCACCTCCTGCCGTGCAGCCCGGTTCTTAACAGGCCACTGACCGGTACTAGTGTGCAGCCCGGAGTTTGAGAAACCCTAGATTAAAGAATCCTGGATTAAAACATGAGGAAACTCGACTACAGTAGCATTCACTATGATCATTTTTAAAAGTCTTAGGCACCATTGTGCGAGCACGTACTGTGGGCCAGGTACTGTATTCAGTACTTTCTTTCCAATAACCCTCCCAGTCTACAGCCATGCCACCCTGAACATGCCCAATCTCGTCTGATCTCGGAAACTAAGCAGGGTCTGGGTAGTACTTGGATAGGAGACCACCTAGGAAGACCAGGTGCTGTAGGCATAAAAAAATAAAGGAAAATAATCCTCCCAGCAATGCCATCAGGAGCATTCCAGTTTTATAGGTGAGAAAAAGGAGACTGAGTTGTTTGCCAGGGTCTGTGCAGCTTCCTGCTTCTCTCCAGGGCCTACGTTTGCCCTGACCAAGACAGAGTCGGTGCCAGAGGAGAGGTTGCCAGGGATGGCCAGCCCCTGCACGGGACAGAGAGAGAGCCAGATCGCTGTCCCTAGCAGGGGGTGGCTTGTGTATTTGTGCCTTCTGTGCGGGGTGGAAATGAGTCCCTTCTAAAGGGCATCTTTTCTCCACAGTGAAATACTCAGCACTGCCGCCGCAGTCCGCAGAGCCACCGCAGCCCCAGCCACCCCGGATCTGAGGGCCCCGTGCAGCAGCAGGTGCACAGTCGCGCCACCACTGGGGACCCAGCTCCTTATTTCATTTGGACCCACAGCCGCTGTACCGCTCCTTTGATGTCACTGGCTTTTCGTTCTAATTTCTGGATGAGCTCTGGGTGTGAGTTAGGTTTCTGCGCCCTGCACACAGGGTGGAGGTGACCACCCTGTCACAGGTGCTCTGGAGACTTGGTGTTGAAATCCAGCCTCAGGAGCTGCTGGGTCACCAATTCCCCAGAGCCAGCCTAGCCTGTTCCAGGCCTTTGTGAACTGGGGAGGAGGACGCCGAGCTGGGGGAGGGCAAGAGGATGCTTCCTTTTAGGGGACGAGTTTGACCACAGGGTAGTGTGATCCTAGAGGAGTGGCATTGACTCGCTGGTAGGTTTCTGCCAATAGGTAACACTTGGTGTGACCTCAGCTGTCAGGTGGCCCGGCTAGCACCTGGTGCTTGGAACCCCTGCAAAAGAGCCAACAGCTGAGCCCTGGCTAACACCAGGCACACATACAGGACACCGGGGTGGGGTAGGGTTGGGGGGCGTCATTTTGGTCCTTCTTTCTGGTTACAGCTTTGACACTGCTGGGCTTCTAGAGAGCTGGCCCACGTGGAGGCTTTTTATTTATTTAAGTGCAAATATGCATGCCGTGATAGTCCTCCCCGGGGAGTTCAGGAATCTTCTGCATAAGTGGGAACCTGTGGCTCAGGTCTAATTCCCATCTGATTCCATAGGGGATTGGATGTGTTTTCCAGGCTGATGTGATTAGTCTGTAGGAATCATTTATGCATTGGAAATGCATTTTATCCTGGGCGGGGGCGGGGGAGGGTGTTCACTCTCCACCCCGTTTGTGTTCTTATTTTGGTAGCAAAAGCTACAGACATCAAGAATGAGCATCAAAGCCAAAAGCATGCTTGTCGTTGGCACAGACGTGTATTTGAGGGGGCGGAGGGGAGGGTTGCTTGCTTGGTTTAGTGATGTACACCTGACTTGTAAGTTTGTAGGTACCCTGCCTGGCCTGTTCATGAGTGCTGGGGGTCTGCTCAGCATGGTAAACACCAGACCTTGGGGACTAGCCCCCCACCTGGACTGGTGCTGTATGCTTTGGGCTGGAGCACAGCTGGCTTCCTGGAATGTTCTCTTTGGCCAACATGTGGTCCTGTCCTGGGAGCTCTGCTGTCAGGCTGAACTAGAACCACCATCTACTGATAATCAGTTTGCAGTGTCAAAAAGCACTTCTGAAAGCGTAATAGGTCAGCAGAAAGGTAGGGTCCTATTTATGTTTGTTCTCGTGCTCCTTTGACCTGCATGGGCGGCCCCTGGCATCCCACAGGCCATGCGTTAACTCCTCATCTGCTGAACTGGGGTGAGGCAACTCCAACTTGAAGGAATCTGAACAGACCCTGCAGGTTATGTAACGCATGCCTCATGCGTTCATTTTAGCCCTTGTTTTAAAAATATACGACTCATTGCAGGACGGGGATGAGTCGTAGTGCGTGGGTCAGTGCTACTGTTTGGACCCATTCCTGGCGCAGGCCTGCGGGCCCGAAAACCCCCCCTCCCCTGCACGGGGGCACACCAGACAGGCCAGGAGTGTGCGAGGGGGTGGGGAGCACTGAGGACACACATGCATGCGTTGCAGAGGGAAGAAAATGTGGCCTTCCGTGCTCCAGGAGATTGAGCAGGAGAGGCATTGCTTGCAAGCTGCGCCTGTTTGTAGCGCCTCCCTCTCCTCAGTGGCCAGGCTGTCAGCTTTGCCAGGCTTGTTCCTCCCAAGGATGGCAATGGTTGGTGGCCTCAACCCCTGTCTGTTTCTGGGCTGCAGGCAGCTATGATGGATTTTTGCATCCATGGCCTTTTGCTGTGTACATGGGGTGACCTCAGGGCCTGGGGAGGGCCAGTGTGCTAAGGAACAGGAGTCGGAGAGGGATCGCGTTAAGGTGGCTGCGCATCAAGGTCCCTGAGGCATTTTAAATGAAGAGAAATGGCAGCGCTTGTGTGTGGCAAGATGCTTGTCTCCCTGCCACCGGGAAGTATGGACATTTACAGAGCTGTCAGTCATGGCAAGGAGTAGGATGAGGACTGATGGGACCCATGTGTACCCTGCCATGACCAGGCGTGGTGTTGGCACTAGGGTTGTTGGGCTTTTCCACTGGGAGGCTGGAAATCGGGCACCTACCCCCCCACCCCTGGTTTTTCCTCTTAGCTTTAGTGTGAAGCTAGTGATGGCAAAGAGCCTGCAGTCCTCCAGTTGTGATGAGGAGTCAACATACTCCGCGGGGCGAAGCCACCTCCTTAGCATCATTGACTTTGGTGATTTTTGCTCCCCCCTAGCTATCGGGGTGCTTTCTGCAGAATGCCCACAGCCCAGTGCCCAGACCTGCTCCTAGTGACTGGCCATGCCTGGAAGGTCACTCAGCAGCTGCCGTTTGCAGAGCTCTTGTCCCGGGGGGACACTGATGCCTGCAGAAGCTT